AAAAAAAAAAAAAATAAATAAAATAAAACAAACAGAAAGGATTATAAAGGAAAACAGATAAACCAACATTTTTACATTTTAAAAATTATATGCTGTAATCAAATGGTACTAAATGTAGAATTTAATAATTAAATTCTATACCTGTAATCTAATGGAAGGCTTTAATAGGAAATATTTATTGTACTTATATTGGACAAAATAAAAACATTTAAAACATTTGACATTTACATAATATTCAGTTTGCCTTAACCTAAGTACTATCATTAGTTATATCTATTTTAATTCTAAAACATCAAAATTTTAATCATAAATTTTCTCAGAGAATAAAAAGATTTACATAAATTTTTGAATTAAAAACAATATAGTTAAGCAGTGTAAAAATTAGCTTTCCACACATAATTGAAAGATTCAATTTTTTTTTTTATTATCCCAGCAAACATTACACTAGAGAAAATGATTGGGAAAATACAAATAAGTTCATTAAAAACACAGGCTGATTATTCATATCTATTACATTCAGAATTATGCAAAACAATTAGTTATATTGCAAAGCTGTAATTCCTTTTCTAACAAAGCATGATTTTATAAAACTTTAGTGTTGCCACTGATTCAATTTTAATACAAAATATTTATATACACAATACAATATAAAAGTAAACTGTGTAGTGCCTTCCACAAAGGGATATATTAAGGCGCTTTACAAATATACCAATATTTTGACCCAAATTACTTTTTGCTTTAGATTAAAATGAACAGGCTAAATGTTCCAGTTTAAATACCAAAGGGATTTTTGTTTATTAAAAATTTTTTTATCTAAAATACCTTGGGTAACAGCAGCAGCAATGTCTAAAAATCCTCCCACTGTAATCTCTAATTTCTAACATATTAAGTAAAAATAAAACAATTCCACTCACAGTTTTGCACTTTGCAACAGCAGAAGATAGTAACTTTTTAAAAAAGTCAATCTCAAAGTGACTTTTTAGTCATACATTCTATAGTTTCTATTACAAATAAGAAGGTAGAAAAGATACAGCAGTAGGGCCTGCCTTATGATGTCACTGGACAATACATAACAGTATCTACAATTACATAATTATAGAACACATCTTATAAATACTATTGATATGCATTAAAAGGGTAAGTAGAATAAAGACAACAAGTAAATTATTTTAAAAAGAAAACAAATAGAACCAATGTTTTCACTCCATTTCAATGGAAAGCATCTATATTTTTAACATTGTTTTTCTCATCTTTTTGGTCAGGAAGCACCAGATTATATACTGAAAGAAGTAGATGTAATTTTGGAATATGGTAGCTAATACATACATTCAAACTGTTAAAACTGCTGATACCAAAGGCATGTATACTGCTTGAGATAAATGCAAAAGGCTTGTTGTGTCAGCGAAAATTTTAAAAGAATACAAATTTCCGCCAGACGTGGTGGCTCACATCTGTAATCCCGGCATTTTGGGAGGCTGAGGTGGGCATATAACTGGAGCCCAGGAGTTCCAGACCAACCTGGGCAACATGGCGAAACCTCACCTCTACTAAAAATATAAAAATTAGCCGGGCTTGGTGGCGCATGCCCAGCTACTTAGGAGGCTGAGGCAAAAGGATCACGTGTGCCCCGAGGTCGAGGATGCAGTGAGCTGTGAAGTGCCACTGCATTCCAGCCTGGGTGACAGAGTGAGACCCTGTCTCAAAAAAAAAACAAAAAACAAAACCAAAAAAAAGAATACAAAATTTGTAGTGTCTGTTACATTTCAGCAATAGGGGCAATACAGATTTTGTGGGAAGGGAAGGGGAGGAGACAGCACCTTAGTTTTCCTACAACATAAATGTAACAAGTTATTTTCTACTGTATTGCACCATAGTCCAGAAGTAAAACAACTAAATGAAAATTTAAATAAATCAGACTGAAAAAGCCCAAAGAGCAAGAGGAATACCTTATAAATGTGAGTACCCACCTAAAAATTCTTGAACTACTTTGTTTTGCACAGGATTTTATGGGACTAACCAAATGTTCCATGAACCATGAGGTGAAGACTGCCATTTCATGCTAGCGTTATTTTCTTACAATTCTCTCATTAGAAATCCTTCATAAATATTTCTGTATCAAGCCTGTAATGAGTCCAACATTTCAGTGACCTCCAAAGGGCATATTTAAAACAATTTAATGTACCAGCAAGAAGGCATTCATAAGTTCACCTTGTATCACATGCTACAGACCCTTTCTATCACAAATTATCAGTTTATATAAGACATGCCAAGTAGTGACTGGTAAGTTAAAAGCAAAGTTCCTAGTTTAACAGATTGATTTTCTTATGGGACAGAGGTCCATAACCTAGAGCCTGTGACTGTATGTCCAAAATCCCTTGAAACTGCATGTAACATTGTATGTGTATGTGTTGATATGCTTTTTTTTTTCTAGGAAGAGTCCACAGCTTTCATCAGATTCTCACAAGAACCAGTAACCCCAAGACCCATGAGAACACAGCAGTAGTTTTTAAGCTGAGCTCTGAAAGGACCATCTGTAGAAAGGTGGCAAGTATGGGTTAATAAGTTTTCTTTGCCCTGACTCTCCAATTCAACTGTAACAGCTCTGCCTTTAATTTTACTACATACATGGTTTCAATTAGCTTTTACGTGAAGGAAGCAAAAAGTCTGAAAATCATTGCAATTATGCCTCCAATCCACAAATAGTAACTTTTGATAAAAACAATCCCATATCAGTGGAGTTTAAGAACAGGAAATAAAATACAATACAAACTTTACTATGGTCAAAATAGAGCCTTTCCCCCCTTCCTAAAAGATAAGCTACATGTATTTTGGCATGAAACCTTAATCTTCCTTAGAACCTAAGCATTATACATGATAGGCATGTTCAAGAATAAATAAATTAGGAGGACTTGAATTTTCTACTAAGACCACTCTGTAAATTTTCCTAATTATTAATGGCCATCTCAAGAGTTAATTTTTTCACCAATTAATCTGCTGTTAGATAAAATATTGCCAGATGGTCAGATTTTCCTTTGCCAATAACAATCTGTGTATGCAGCACTGTTCTGAAAGAGTAAACAGGTAACATTGATGATATAATCAAAATAGTTACTGTAAAGGAAAAGTATATGAAAATGAAAATAATTCTCTGCTTAGGATGGTGGGAAATATTTTAGCTTTTAGTATTGACAAATTTGATTTATGGCAGCTTTGTTCCCTTTTAAAATTGGAAGCAGCATCAAAAATACCAATATGGGGCTGGGCGCAGCGGCTCACACCTGTAATCTCAGGACTCTGGAAGATTGAGGTGGGTGGATAATGAGGTCAGGAGATTGAGACCAGCCTGGCCAACATGGTGAAACCCCGTCTGTACTAAAAATACAAAAATTAGCTGGGCATGGTGGTGCGCGCCTATAGTCGCAGCTATTCGGAAGGCTGAGGCAGAATTGCTTGAACCTGGAAGGTGAAGGCTGCAGTGAGCCAAGATCGCACCAGTGCACTCCAGCCTGGTGACAGAGCGAGATTCTGTCT